AAAATTTGAATACGTTATAATTGAATTTTTTATTATAATATGATTAGTACTCACAAATATCAAGAACATCATCAACCCAATATACGCGTGATAATACATTATAATATTTACATATTACATTGCATTTTAAACAGACACTATACATCTAACTCATAAATTCCCAAAAGAATAATCGCAATGAAAACGCAAAACTTCACAAAAGAGTTCATTTTTCCCGCACTTTTTAATATTATTAATTACTGGCACCACAAGGTCTTTGTTACGTCGACACGCGAAATCATCGACTACAAGCCTTCAAATACTCGTAACCGTGTCCTGCTTCGGCCGGCGCATGGAACGTAATGGCGCATAGTCGTAGAATACATAAGTCATATATAATAGCATAATTATATAAAAATCACTCTCTGATATGAAACTTCCGAGTTTAAACCTAGAGCCAGCAATGCTAATGTTCATAGTACTTTGCAGCCACGGATGCGACTTTTGCCAAAATAGAATAGAGATTGCTATGGCGCCCGTGTTAAATCAAAATGCACCTTACGTCCGCGTGCGAGAGTTTATATCACTTGGCCCGTTAGCCCACTTTGTAAGCCCGCCTCTTTTGTAGGATAGGTGTTGTGAGTTAAACAAATTGATTATTTGATATGAGTTGGAAGTAAAATACACCCAGGGGCCAGATTAACCATGTTGGGGCCCTTAGGCAATGGAATTCTCGGAGCTCCTTTGCAGCCAACATAAAGGGATGTGAGTAGCACCAGAGGATTGATGCTTAACTACTCAGGAACTTACAGCAAAAGATTTATATTGGGCTCATTATAATTGTCTTAATGAATAGGTTATAGATAAGTGACGATCCAGTTCGCAAAACTCACAAAACGCAATTACAGATCAAGCATTTCAAAACTTTTGTATATCATACAATACACTACGTATCGTATCCATATTATTAGTTCTACTACTCGATACTCGATGGTTCTGAGTATGAAGTATTTCGTCAACTGACACGCGTCTCTAAAACGTAATAATAGCTATTGTCCTTAGATAATTGATAAGTCATTACTACACTATTAATAATCTAAGCTATTGTCACTGAGGTTACAAACTTTCCAATTAAATTTTCTCTGTATGAAACATTTTATATTATATTTGTGCGCGCAACGGGGCCTCTACCCGATGCGGGGCCCCTAGGCAGTTGCCTACTCTGCCTTAAAGTTAATCAGACCCTGAATACACCGAGGTGTTAGCCAAAATATTAGTAACTTCCTGATAATTATTGTTCAATGTGAGAATGGTTAATATGATAGATCTGTTTATGTTTTCCTTGTTTGTCACAATTATTGATTTGTTAGAAATGATATACGCTCGCTTAAACACAACTCGTATACTCACTCGAATTTTAAACTACATTGACATACATAAGCAGCTAAGTAAGTACAACGGCATACATTTAACAGTGCGAACATAAACAATACCATCTGTCGGTATACAGACTATACTATACACAATATATATAACCTTTTCACTCAAATTCATTATGTTTTGACTACCTCTTTGATCTAGTGATAGTAGCCGGGAGTCAGGAAGTTGGCGGTGTACACCCCAGTAGCTTCGAAAACTATGTGTAAGCGGTAATATATCCTGCGCTTTATCTCTCTCCAATCGTGTCGGATTATCGTCACATCGGAATATAGTGAGGGAATTGTAATGCGAATGAAACACACGAATAAAATATATAAGACTGATTATATACAATTATAAGACCGATTTATATTCCGAAGAACATACACTATTAGGTACGTGATATTTTTTAATTTACTCTGTGGCGACCCCGGTGACAAGTTATAAAATACTTGCTCCCAACTCTTGTAAATTGATAATATCCACCTCAATTTTGACTAACAGTTGTTATATACGACTTATTTGTATTTGTAAAATAACCAAAAGTCATAAGTATTTTAATTAAATTGCGTTTAGTGCTCTAACCAAAAGTGACAGCTGTAACGAACATCGTTTAAACTTACTATATTTCTTGTTATTATCCTTTTAATATTTTAAGATTTACTTTTTAAGTAAATGTTGCTCTGGATTTCATTTTGAATTATTTACATGATAATTTAATTTGAAATCTGTATATAAACCCATAGATCTAGACGACTGTTTACTCTGCTTCTTCGGTTTTTTTTCTTTGTTTTCTTTTGCAATTTACACTTAATAGTAAAAAGAATACACGCAACGCTAAAACACGCCAGTAGGAGTACCAACTTCAAATGGCGCTTCAAGAACTTACGGCGTCAAAGGAGCAGTGTGAGCTGTTTTGTAAAAAAGGGATGACAATGAAAAGGAAATAATAAATATACTTGCTAAAAATACTAAGCTAAAAAGTGATATGGTTAAATTGCTTATAAAATATACTATTGTTTTAAAAGAAAGGGATCAACTTCAGAGAACAGTGGATGAGTTTGACCAATGCAGGAAGAATTATGTGGAATCCCTCAGATGAATTACTGCTTTGCAATTACAGTGAAGTGAGGCCAATAAGCAGATTGTGTAATCAAAACAATACATAGATAACTTGAAAGCGTATCAAACTCAAAGTCTGTTCAATGAGCTCATAGAATGTGAATCTTCTAAAGCATTGCAACCCTCCACAACAATCGATTTGTCTGGTGATGATTATGTCACATCAAGAACAGTAGCAAATATTACCTGCAGTAGAAGAAAATTAAAGAAATACCTAAAAATTAATAAATATATTAGGAAAGTTCAAAAGTTAATTAAAACTAATACTTAGCCTTTGAGCGAGAAAATAACCAGCCCTCGTATCACCAGCAGCACCAAATAGTCGTAGATTAAGTTCCTTTAGGAACTTCACCGCATGAGGACACCACGGACCGATAGTCTCTACAGCAAATGGTACAAATATGTAGGTGGTCATCTCTCAGAGATCAATATTTGCACCACTTACTCAGTTCAGCTACCTCTGATGACGCCCAGGCTCTATACGAGGTACTCTTGAGATGAGAGGCCGCCAAAGTGTCTACGCAAGTAGCATCCCACATTAGGGCTTTACCTCTCTCCCAAGAGACCAATGTCATACCGTCGGGTCTCCTGCCATCATCTCTAATTATTCTTTTAGAAACTCTCTGCCCTATCGTGAGAGTTTTTTTTTGAATATAATAATACGCTGTAATAATCGCAGATTAAACCAAACACTTTTTTTTTTAATTTTTGTAAATACAACTTTGGGTTAGTTTGCCCCTACGCCAATCTCTTCAGAAGTGTCTGCAATTTTTTTTTCTTAATCCTTTATCAACTTATGTCTATGTCCGGTTCATTCCCTAAAATAATTTAATGCCTTTTGAAGCCATGTAGAATTAATAACTCACAATTACATCGAAATATACTCAGTTTAAAACATTTTATCATTTTAATATTGGCGTTGGACGATCGGGAATGAAAATTAAATGAACATTTTTCACCATTTTCACCCTTTGATGGCGAGAAATATGCTACAATAGAGACAATTAAAAATAAATTCTTTTTGTAATAAAATAAACGCTAGCTGGTTCACCACTGATTTATTATATTTATGAAGGTACAGTATCCACACAAAATATCAATATACCCGCAATATACTACATCCTTCCCCTTTTATAATGAACACTGAAGTAGGTACAAAAATGATTTATAACAACAACAAAAACTATATAATGGAAACAAATGAAAGATAACGCTAACTGTAGAAATGGACCGTATACCAAATACAAACTCATACAAAATTAATATAAATATCATAGTAACGAAGCCATCTAGGGGTTACATGAACATATTTCTATATATTATGTTATAATATAAATCACTTCTATGTTTTATGATTTATTTTGCTTCAACAACTATCGAACAGTGTTTAATTGAAATTACAAAATAATAGTAAACCTAAAAATAAACACAATTAAGTCAATATCTACAGAATACAGAGACTTAAAAATATACACTTAATATGAATATGTATATTAGTTTGTAAATAACTTCTATACAAAACAACTATTATATTTTATCTTTCATCGGATATTTCATCTTAGCCTTGAGTCGTGCTTTTGACCTAGTTATTGGAGGATTATTTGGCGCAGGCGGCGGAATACGTTTCATCGCTGTCTGCATATCGTACTATCAAGTGACGGCGATTGCGCCTCAATCGCCGTCCGCGCGTATTCTGTACTATGAACGAACGTGGTTCCTCCGACGGTCTAATAATAGAAACGGGTTTCCTATTTCCGTTATCAATTAAAATTGCTTTATTTCCTGGTAATACAGTCCGCAATGGCTTGGCCGACCTATCATACTGTAATTTATTATATTTTCTCTGTTGCATTAACGTTTTGTAATTTCTATTATCAATTGTTTCATTTAATAGAAAATTACTAATCGGTAGCTTCGTACACAAACGTCTTCCCATCAGAATTTGCGCCGGAGAATCCATTCCATACCTAGGCGTACTCCTATAGTTAAATAAACTTATAAAGAAATCATCCCCAGAATCGACGCATTTTTTTGAGAAGATTTTTTATAGTTTGCACTGTGTGCTCACTTTTCCCATTTGACTGAGGGTAATGAGGTGATGAAATCACATGCTTAACCTCCCATACCCTAAGGAATTTTTTAAATTCTTGCGAACTATACGCCGGCCCATTATCAGTAACAAGCTCGCTAGGGATGCCATGCCTCGAAAATTGTTCCTTTGTTTATACACTATTTACTTCTTGAACTTCAACATAATTAGAAAAATAGTCTACTAATATGACATAGTATTTCTTTTTATACTCAAAAATATCTGAGGCAAGTTTTTGCCAAGGTGCTTTGGGTACGATATGTTGAAGTAGTGTAATTCCCGCGCGGGAGCCGGTGCATGCAGAGCACACGATTCGCAGCGGCGCACGGCGCGCTCCACGTCCGCTGACAGCCCTGGCCAGAACATTACATCACGCGCGCGCCTATTACACCTCTCTATGCCTAGGTGATCTTCGTGTACTTTTACAATCATTTCGGCTCGTAAACTTTGCGGAATAAATATACAATAATTTTTTAATATTAACCCATTCACATATTGGAGTTCTCCACAATATGACCAAAACTTTCTAACGTTTTTATGAACATCATGCTCATTTATTGGCCAGCCGTTTAGTATGTACTTAATTAATAACTGACATTCCTCATCAACCTCTGTCGCCTTTCGAACTCTATCTATTTTTTCTCTACTAAACGGCATACATTCAATCATAAAACATGTTTGCATCTCAACATCCTCAGACTCTCGATCGTGCATAAACTCCGGCAGAGGAGCCCTCGATAACGTATCGGCAATATACATATACCTGCCCGGAGTATACACCACCTTGAAATAATATCCCTGTATCCTCATCATCATGCGTTGTAGTCGTATCGGTACAGATGACAACGACTTATTGAACTATGCCTCCAAGGGCTTGTGATCAGTTTGTACAGTAACATCTGATCTGCCATAAATGTAAACCTTTCTGCCGTAAACACTATTGCCAGCATCTCTTTTTCAATTTGTGCGTACCGGGTCTGAGTGTCAGTGAGCGTTAACGAAGCAAACTCCACTGGACGGCCGGCCTGCAGCAGCACCGCTCCCAGCGCTCTAGCACTCGCGTCTACCGAAACCACCACCGGTAGCTCCGTCGAGTAAAGTGCTAACACTGGTGCAGATAAAATTTTATTTTTAACATTGTCTATAGCATCTGAATGATGTGGCTCCCACAGCCATTCAGATTTTTTTTTAATAAACTTCGAAGCACAGACACACTATCCGAATAGTTTTGAATAAATTTGGCAAGATAATTCACCATACCCATAAATCTCTCCAATGCTTTACGATCTGTAGGATACGGCATACCCATAATATCTTTAACTTTAGACTCGTCTGGTTTCATCCCATTCTTATGGAATTTGTGACCCAAATAAACAATTTCTCGAACTCCAAACTTACATTTCTCCTTATTAAATTTTATACCAATTTCTCTAGCCCTATTCAGTAAACATTTTAGCCTGAAGTCATGTTGTTCTTCAGTATTCCCCCATACTATTACATCATCAATAAAAGAGTCCCTCCAAATCTTCCAGATATTGTCTTAACTTTGCATGAAATACTTCTGGAATACAATTTACTCCATACGGTAGCTTTAGAAACTGGTGTCGACCTAACGGTGTTCCAAATGTACAAAGATCTGCGCTGGCAGGATCAATTTGAACCATGCAAAAACCAGAACGCGCATCCAGCACGCTGAAGTACGTAGCACCGCGCAGCCGCGTTGCCAGCTCGCTCACCGTGGTCAGCGAGTAATGCGCGCGCCGCACCGCGCGGTTAAGCGGTCTCGGGTCCAAACACACACGAATATCACCATTCTTTTTTGCTACTAGCATAATAGCGTTAACCCATTCCGTAGGATGAGTGACTTTCCTGATAACGCCTAATTTTTCCATCCTACTTAACTGTGTTAAGAGTTTGTCTTTCATCCCCAGTGGTATTTTCCTAGTAGGGCAAATCACTGGCTGTACTGTAAAATGTAATGTTTACTTTTATAAATAAATGTTAATTCGTACATGCCCAGAATAGGTAAATTATTACCAGTAAAAGATTTTACACATTTGTTAAAATATTTTAGGTTATGAATTGACATGCCTAAGTTTAAATAATCATTTTTCGAAAAAACATTTAACATAGAACCTGTATCTATTTTAAATTGCACCTGTCTACCATTACATTGAAAAGTAACTTACATTTTTTATCCTGGCTTAATATCATGTCCACATAGAACATTTCGGCATCGGACATGTTTTCGGGCTCACACACATTCAAGTTTTTTAAACTTGAATGTGTGTGAGCCTTGTCGCGTAATGTATATTTATGCACACACACTTTAGCGAAATGCCCTTTTTATCACACACATAACACAATGCATCCCGCGCCGGACAACGGTCGTCAGTGGAGCACCAACCATTGCCACATGACAAGCAGCGTGTTCGCGAAGTCGCCAAACCGGCACCGAACCCCGGTCCGCGGCCATGAGCGCTGCTCCTCGCTCCGCGCCACCTTACTCCACGGCTGCGTCGTACACCGCCGTAGCTGTGACCGCTTGCATCCCTTACAGCATCAACTCGCATTTCACTACAGCCAGGACCATTTTTGATGCATGAACTTTCCTCCTTCGATATTTCTTCCACTTGACATATCTGGACCGCCTTTTCTAATGTTAAATCATCCGTACGAAGTAGCCGATCACGTACAATGTTACGTATGATACCGCAGACAATTCTGTCCCGTATTAAGCTTTCATTTAGATTACCAAACTCACAAGATTGACTTAATAAGTAGTCATATAACATTGTTATATTGCATTGTTATTCTAATACAGAGTACAGTATTGTTATATGTTGCAATGTTGAAAAACAATGTATCATAATGTGGACGTGTTATAAAACAAAAGATACACAACATTTTACTTAATCTGTACGCACCCTAAGGATCAGCACTGATAACACGACTATTCGAAGCGATGACAGCCTAAAGTTTGAGGGTGCAGGCGGCGAACTTTAATGTCGCGGGATAGAATCCTCCCCTCTTAACACAATGCATTTTAAGCTTACCTGATGGTGGTTTTTAAGGTTAAAGGGATTATTTTTTCATAAAAAAATACTAGTAATGCTTAACGTTAGAAGTGGTTCACGACAGTAGTCGAATGGCGAAATCGAACCCACGACCTTTCGAGTTCGCGGTCCGCGCCCTGCCATTAGGCTACTGACGCATTATTGTATAAATTTCAATATTATATTTGTAATGAAGTACATATAGCATTTCTAGTATTTTCTTAAAATATAAATAAATATAGGACATTGTAAAAAATCGCCTAAGAACCAACATATATTTGACAATTACTAAAATTCTTATCCTTAATTACGAGTATGTATTAGATAACATTCAATAGATAGTAACGGACACCTCTGAATTGTCAAATCAAAATCAAAGGAGTTTTTAGATTTTGAACTTTGTACCTATTTTTTAATATTAATGTATGCGTTTATCTCCTGTGATTTGGCCAATCGCACAATACTGTCACTGACGTATTTCAAAAGTTGTCATAAACTCAAATATATTGTGAAAACGTTAATATTTTAAAATATACCTCAGGTTAATATATGCCACAAGGAACTGGGATACAGTAAAATCATCTGTTTTGATTTAAAATAACAATACTATTGTACTCTCATTGGCCAATTCAGCATTGTGCCACGCAAGAAAAAAAAACATCAATAACATTGACAGATGATAAGACGTTAAAATAGATAGACGTCAGACGTGCGATCGTTTTCGTTTCGTTTGAAAAAATACATTTCTGCAAATGTTTTCGGAATCTAAGCGCACTGTGCAGTTAGTTTGTTGTGCGATAAATTTACCTAATCACAACCTGAGTTTTATTTACCCTATAAGTGCTAGGCTAGGACTGAACTGCTTACATTAGCAATAACATAGTAATATTTCATAAAAATAAAACATAATCTCAAAATCTCTATGATAACTGCTAATATCCATGTTTTCGAAAGTGTCCGTCAGGAGTTATTGTTCTTACATACAATTACCTGTAATTTCGGACTTAGAAAGCTATTTAATTTTCACTATTGATTCTCAGGCCAACATTGTATGGACGCAGAATTATGTCATCTTAATGATATCCAGTTTGTATAAAATTGTATAGTAAAGTAACAGTCTATATACCTCCTACTGCTGGGCATATTACCAATGTAGTAGCTTGTAATATGCCCAGTTGTCATTTTTGGAATTTTTAGAGAAGGAACGGGCACCGCCACTAGTACCAAAGCCGCGTATCAATTAAGCCGCGTATCGATTACGCGCTCCTGGCGCGCGCGCCATGAATGACCGTGCCGACCAATGCGTTCCACGGAACGCGCTCCAAATGCAGTCCAATGCAGTGCAGGAAAACCGTTCCAATGTTTGCCCGTTCAACATGGATGTCAGTCGTGTACCAACAGCTGCCGCTTTCATAGTTCCATGCATCTTCTCTGTGCGTTTCATTAAAAACAACTTTGGCTATTCCACAGAAATTACTTTCAACCATATAATTTTATTAATTTACAGTTACTCTGGTTATCCATAGCTTGGAACGCAACGAACAAACGAATGATGAAGACAACCGTCCCAACTGGCGCGTGCACCAAAACTAAAGTCCTTTGATACGTGCTAAAAAACTGACGCCAGATGGAGCAGCTCCCTCCACATTTGAGCGTTCCAACGAACAATTTGGCGCGCTTTCCAAGGCGGTATCAGGTATCAGCTATACTAGTTTACTTCAGCTACTTCCATAGCATAATGTCGTATGGTATTTTGCTATGGGGACACGCAGCTGACACTGAAATTATATTTGTTTTGCAGAAGAGAGCCATAAGAGCAATTTATGATTTAAAGCCTAAAGAGTCGCTGCGACAAAAATTTAAGGAAATTAATATATTAACTTTGGCCTCTCAATACAATTCATTCTTGGGGCGATGTATACGCTTTTACAACAAAATTCCAGAAAATATACAAAGTTTGACCTGTTCAAAGTTCAAAAACTTTATTAAACTAAGTTTGTATAAAAAGGTTTATTATAATATTAAGGAATTTATGGATGATAATAACCCCTGGAAATGAGGTGATCGCTACCAAGCTATTTCTAATTTGTTGTGTTGTTAAGTTGTGTAACATCATGATTGTAAGCTGTTATTTAAAAAAAAAGTCCCGCTGGGTTTCTTGCTGGTTCTTTCCAGGACAAAGGTTTTTCCGAACCAGTGGTAATCAAACAAAAGAGTGACTTTCAATAAGTATTATTTATAATCTATATTGAATAAAAAAGTTTCTGTTTCTGTTTTTATCATAACTAACAAAACGAGCAAAAACTCGGTATATCTAGTTCTACTCGTCGATGAGTTCCAGTAGCAATCATCAAAATACATTTTCAAGTCCCCTTTCAAGTCCGGAGGTAAAGTCCCAACATAACTAACATAACGGGCGCCAACTCGACACATCTAGTTCTCCTAATCGAGGAGTTCCAGTAGCAGTCATCAAAGTGCACTTTCAAGTCACTCTGTCGAGTCCGGAGGTAATGTCTCATCGTAACTAACAAAACAAAGCCAAACTCAGCACATTTAGTTCTACTCGTCGAGGACTTCCAGTAGCAGTCTTCAAAGTACACTTTCAAGTCACTCTAACATGTCCGGAGGTAAGGTCTCATCATAACTGTTTTGTGTTATAACTGTGCGCGGCTGCGTCCGCGCCCAATAATAATGTTTGCAATTAAAGCAGTTCATCAACTGCCGTTGAGTGTTTAACTAGTCCCCTGCGCTCCG